GGTGTACTATACCCTAAACCCTAAACCCTAAACCCTAAACCCCTAAAAGTTTTAAGGGCTACTTTCGTGATGGTGGGCTTTGGGTGCTTTGTGGGTTGCCGGGTTTAGGGCCTAGGCTCGGTCAGCCTGAAATCCAAGCACTACCTATAGTCTCCATTGTAGTTCCTTTTTGGGGATACCTTGTAAAATTCTTTATATATATATATATATATATTTGGTTAAACCAAAAAAGGGAACTACAAAGGAGAGTATAGGTAATGTTGATTTTGACAAGCAGGCAGTTGAAGGAGTCGCATGGTACGTGGGCAGAAGTGGGGAAGGGGATTGCTCTGATGATGATGGTGGTGGCGATTTTTATAGGAACTGTGGCATGAAGCTCATCGTGTTGCGGCCGCAATGCTGCTGCTGTTGATGATGATAATGATGATGGTGATGTCATCGTGGGCAGGTTGTTATAGATGCTGATGTTGATGATGAGGACGACGGTCAGATGTTATTCCCTCCGTTGCAGTCACTACACACATGGCTGCCTCTGCAACTCCTGATTTGGGTGGCTGCAACAACGAAGTTACGTTTCTGCTTTACTGTTGTGACCATGATCGCTCGGATGCAGCAATGCATACCTACACTCTACACACAAGTGTCCAGACAAGTGCCCAGACCATATTGCCATGAGGCTTTCATGCTGACAAAACGTCGCTGCGGACTCCTCGTATCTCAACAAGCTCTGATGTTGATGACGTCCATCACCACGAAGCCCCCTTAACACTCAGCCACTAAACCCTACACGCGATGGACCCAAACCATTGAACCCAAAGCTCTACGCCCCTGAAACCAAGAACATAAAACATAAGCCCTATATGCCAGACGCCCACCTGTTTTCTTGAATGCGTGCTGTCGCAAAGCCTTGAGGCCCTAACGATTGCACAACCCCCCGGTAGAAACCTTGCAGTAACCCGCATAATTCCCGTACAGGAACCCTGACAGTCATCCCAATCCCGAAGCCGCCCCCAACTCTAAAAACCTGAAACCCTCAACGCGTAAACCCTTAAACCCCAAACCTATAATCCTTAAGCCCCAAAGCCTATAATCCCTAACCCCAAACCCAACCCCCTCAACCCCATCTATCATACACAGTTCTTAGCCCTGCCTAAACGCCAAATCACCCAAGCTCCCCTAAACCCTAAACCCTAAAGCCAAATACCCAAACCCTAAACCCCAAAACCCTAAAGCCCAAAACCCTAAAACCCTCAACCC